CCCTGCTCCAGTGCGTCTGAGAGGCAACGATGATGTCTCTCTCTCCCTCTCCTTTCTCTCTCAAAAACTCAATAAAAACATACCCTCACGTGAAGGCTAAAAAAAACAAAAACAGGTTTGTGACCTGATCTTGCCCGCCAGCAGCATGGCTCTGTGTAGCCATTAGCTGAGACATAAAATAAATCACCAAAAATGTGTGTGGGAAGTATCTGGCACATCATATTTTTATCGGAGAAAACGGGGTGTCCTTCCCCACTGGGTGCTGCTGGGGTGGAGTTCTTGTGATTCCCAAGGAAAGGAATTTTCTGAGACTCGCCTGGGAGAGTGAGGGGTTTTTATTTGCACAGAAGTAAATCCCTGTGTTTCTAGTCCCATGTTCCTTAGTCAGTCGTGGAAGAAGTGTAGCTGGGGTTTCAGTAAAGCTGGAAGCAAAGCCAGTGCCCGGCGTCCCCTCTCCAGGCACCGACGGCATCGGGCTAGTTGTAGCCATTAGTCCATCGTGTGTGGGGATCTGCATGGCTGGGGGCCGCACAGGAGGCCAGGAAACCAAGCACGAGCCAAGAGCCAAGTGTGCCAAGAGGGCTCAAGAGAGCCTAAAGCACAAGACAGGGAACTTCTTTATTCAGACTTAAGTATTCCAAACCTTTGTGGACGTGCAGTGGCCACACCCATTCTGGCAAATGACCTCTGTTCCCGGATGTGGCTGACAGCAAACACCTTCCCTATGTCACCCCAACTTTCCTGGGCATGCAATAGCTTCCCTTTCCCGGTTCCCTTACCCCAGTGCTTTGCAGGGAACATGCCTATAATGTCTGGGTCTGGCCTTTCCTTTCCTCCTTTTCTATTATTAATAATCAGCTAAATACAATGGTATCAATATATGACATATTCGTGATGTGATGAGAAATGTCATTACTGTTTGGGACACTGATGCCCCAGAAGTAATCCACACTTGCTCTGGAATCAGAGATGGATCAGGTGAATAGAGCAGGTGCTTGCTCTGTTAGAAATGAGCTACAGAGAGAAACAAGCTGCCCCATGTGCAAATCTTGGTGACTGTAGACATCGATGATGTTAGCTCCTATGGTTAATGATAAGCTTCAGTCAAGAGCAGGGACTTTTGATATAGGCCTGTGAGCCCAGAAGAGCAGGAAGAAAAGTGGCCCGAGTCCAAACGTCTCAGGAGAAAAGAAGCATAAAGGGCAATGGGTGATCAGTGATAAGCTGCAATCATGGGAATGATTTTGTTTCCAAGGCCACTTTCAGACATGACTAGAGTTCTGTGTGACATCTGTGCCTTGTTTAACTCAACAGACATTTCTGGAGCACCTCTGAGAACTGATTTGTAATCCAGCCTGTCTTTTACCAGCTTTGTCATGTTTGGCAAGGCCATTGGATCCTTTATCTGTACACTTAGGAGACTGGATCAGGTGAGTTTTAAACTGTCAGTTCAGGCTTCATAACATGCAGGAGCTGAAATGGTCACTGGAACCTTTGTAAACTCAAAACTATCTAAATCATGAAAGAGACTCCATTCTTCTTTGGTCACTTGATGTTCCCACACTTCTAGTTTGAAAATTATAGAGTCAACTGTAAATGATTCTGCATATCCTTTACACATCCAGAAGCATTTTCTTAGAAAGCACTAAATGTTTTTGTAGCTATATATATTAATTTATTACCAAAATAATTGTATTGGCATACTCAAGAAAGTAAGAAAATTCAAACACACACACACACACACACACACATACACACACACACACACCAGAAAAGTATTTGGCAAAATACTCTTCAATTGTGGATCCCTAACCACTGACATGGTCTGCTCCTGACATCCCACCATTGACATCATCATGAGTTGATGATCCAGCATCATCCTACACAGATGACCCTCCATCCGACACACTGACAGATGGCCAACAGCAGCCTAGTGCTGTGTCACAGTACCTACATCATTCACCTCCTTTCATGTTATCATGTAGGCATTTTATCATCTCACATCATCACAAGAAAAAAGAAGGCGAGTAGAGGACAGTAAGATATTCTGAGAGAGAGACCACATTCACGAAACTTTTATTACAGTGTATTGTTATAATTGTTCCATTTTATTATTAGGCATTATTGTTAATCTCTTAGTGTGCCTAATTTATAAGTAAAACTTTATCATAGGTATGTACATACAGGAAAAAACATAGTATATGCCGGATTCGGCACTCCTCAGTGTTTCGGGCATCCACTGGGGGTCTTGTAATGAAGCAGACACCCAGCAGACACGAGGGGAACTGCTGTATCACCTACAGCAGTGTTCGCTATAGTCGCGTGCACATTACATCCCTAGTGCTTACTTATCTCATAGCTGAACTTTGTAGCTTTTGACCACCTTCCTTTAATACTTCTCTCCCCCAACCCACCACCTTTGGCAACCACAAGTCTGATCTCTTTTTTCTAGGAGTTTGGTTTTGTTGTTGTTGTTTTTAGATACCACTTATGAGATCATACAGTATTTGAGGACAATAGCTTTATAGTAAGCTTGACATCAGGCAGTGTGATACCTCCTGCTTAGTTTTCCCCCTTCAGATTTCTTTGACTACTCAAGGTCTTTTGTGGTTGCGTGTAAGTAGGAGTGCTTTTTCTACCATTGGAATCTTGATAGGGCTGGCACTGAATCTATAGATGGTTTTTGGTCATATTGGCAATTTAACAATATTAATTCTTCCAATACATGAGCATGGAATATCTTTTCATTTATTTGTGTCTTCAACAAAATAGTATGACTAACAAAATGGGTGCCAAGGCATGGATGCATGGAACATAATGACAGATGTCATAGGAGAGTTGAGGGGAGGGGACAAGATGAGATTAATGAAAAGACACATATGCATAAATGCATAGCCTGAGGACACAGGCCATAGTGTGGGGACTGCCTGGGGAGGGTGGGGAAGAGGGGCCTGGAGGGCTGGGTGGAGGTGGGCCAAGGTAAGGAAAGCCGGGACACCTGTAGTAGTGTCAAGGATAAAAAATAAGTTTGAAAAAAGAGACATCCAAGCATGCATCTCAAGAAACTAAAAATGGAAAAGCTAGGATTATGGGAAATTAAATCCAAATGAAGACGGACATAGACAAAAAATTCCAAATCAAGAAAAAGAAGAAAATTACAGTAGAGAGGATGAGCAGGTCAAAGAGATTCTCACTGAAAAATATGAAGTTGATAAGCAACTTTTGAAAAAACTGAGAAGACACAATCTTTTCTATCTAGAGTAAACATGGGAATAGCATTATCGTATTTACAGATACTAAGCAGATAATAAAGCCATACAGGGGGGACCAAAAGTAAGTTTACAGTTGTGTGTACTTGAAACACAGAGCTTATTTTTGTATTATTATTTATTAATTATTGTATCATTTTCCACATGGACAACTATAAACCTCCTTTTGCCCCACCCTGTATTATGAATACATTTTAATTGTCATATTAAATAGAAATTTATGCAAATGCAGCACAACAAATGGAAACCTCTGTATATCTAGTGGGTAGTACAGGAATCAAGTTCATTTTATAAACTTTCCTACAAAAGAATTCTTCAAACTCCAATGGCATCAGTAGCAACAATCACATTAAAACTGTAACACTACTCTTATCCAAAGGCTTCCAGGTAAAAGAAAAAGGGGAATGCTTTCCACATAGCCTTAATGCAACAACCTGGCACTCGTTCTAAACTCTGTGAACATGAATGAAGAAAAGCCACTAATCTAAGTGTAGTGTATGCACTGAATTTTAAAGGACAATACAAAATAACCATTATTTCAGAAATGCAAGATTGGTTTACCATTTGAAAGAAATAAATGTAGTTTACTTCATAGACATTATGTGGAGAAAATGTCATTCCAACTGATGCAAAAGTCATAAAAATGTAACATCAATTGATTATAAAAATCTATTAGAAAAATTGCAATATTATGGAATTGTTTTAATATGAGAACTGTATGACAAAAAAACTTTAAAACAAATCTCATACTTAAGGATGAAATATTTAAATATGTTCCTCTAAAATAGAGAGTGATACATATAGAATTTTACTGTCCTTAGTATTCAACATTGGAAATAAAACCCTAGCTTATGAAGATAAGTTGAGAAAAGGAAATAATTGCACCAGGGAAAAAGAAATAAAATAACTCTTCATATAAACTATACAGAAAAACATATATTTGAAATGATAGAATTAGTACAAAGAATCAACAGTTCACCTCAATTGTTTTTATGTTTAAAGCAGCAAAAATCACTAAAGTTTTAAAGAAAGTATGCCATTTAGAAAATTATGACTACAGAATGCTCATATTTATTTACGACTTCAATATAGAAAAATTTAAAATATAGTAGAGAAATGAAAGGAAACCTAATACATGGACGGATAAAGCATGATATTGATTGGGAGAATCAATCCTGTAAAGTGACTGATCTTTATACATTACTTATGCAGTCCCAAACATAGCCCAAAATGTTTATTAACAGCTTCATTAAGGTATAATTCACAAAGCATAAAATTCACCCATTTAGAGTATATATATCAGTGATTTCCAGTAATTCACAGAGTTCACAACCATCATCACTAACAAAATTGAGGAAGTATCCAGCCCTCAAAAGAAGCAGTGAACCAACTGGCAGTTGTTTCTCATTCCCACCTCCCTTCAACCCTTGGCAGCCACTAACCTACTTTCTCCCCCTGTGGGTCTAGCTATGCCTGATATTACATGTAAATTGACTCACACAACATGTGGTCTTTTAGAAAAGTTGAATGTCACAAACATAACATAGAGCAAAAAACACCAGACGTTAAAAGTAATGATATCTGTACTTTTGGATGTGTATATTATTTTCTAATAATTGTTATGGAAAGTACTTCATTATTAGAACAATAATATGATTCATTTGAAGATTTACGTGGTCATAATATTATTTCCATTTCATGAAAATAAAGCCACCCGACAGAACCCCAACTCTAAAGCTTATGCTTGCAGATGTATAGTTTTGAAGATCCACAGCTCTCCGATGAGAGGCCATATGGGTGCATCACACTACAGTTAACTTTACCAGTTGATAAATGTGCTTCACTGTAATGGAGAAAAATACACAATTCTGTTGCTATAGTGTATGGGGCCAACCCATGAGACAATAAATAGCATTTTCCATGTAACTGCAATAGGAGAATGTTTTGAAAATGGATAATGATATTTTTCACATAATATCAGTATGAGTTGGTTATTAGGAAAACTGGGCAGCCATTCTTTAATATTTGTATCAATGTTTCACTAACTTTGAATATCATTCTTCATGTATGTAAATCAGCTTGAGCAAAAGAATTAATAATACTCTTCTGAATTTTTCTTTTTGTATTTTTCTTTTATAAAGCATTTTAAAAACAACTTACTTCAGTTTGAAAGTTGAACCATTTATCCATATCCAAGGATGATCCCTGCTTTTACGTAAAGCTCCAACCCATGATGGAGGTGACATGGAACTCAGAAATTTCTATGGCAAAATAAACAATTTTTATTTAAATAATCATCATGAAATTTTGTATTATTTGTAAATGCAAATAGTGTATTCTTTCATAAAATCCTTCACTTTGAGAAGAAAATGAGAGTGTTGGATCCTAATCTAACACTAAGGGTATATTCAAGACTTTTATAAAAGATATATTCAAATCATTTTTATATTCTCAGACTTTCAGCAATGTTTGTAAATCTGATTTAATGTTTTCATTAAATGTTTCAACATTTGTTTAATGTTTTCATTCTTCTTCTTAGTTTAATAAGGAAAATTCTGATTCATGTACTTTAGTAGTTACACATGTTGACAAAACTAACAAAACTTTAAATAAGTTTCCAAATACTTATTTAAAGTATTTGATAGCATGACTAAATCAATGTACTTTTCTACTGTTTCTCAGATACCAGGTGTTTTGTTTTTTGGTTTTTGTTTTTTAAAAAGGGGGAGGATTGTAATTAAGAAAATAAATGACATGAAAACCAAAAATTTGGTTTTCTGTGTCCCATACCATTCTTTAACCAGATAAGCCCCAAATTGATCTGTCTCTGTGTTGGTGGAATCCAGTGGTCCAGGTGTCAGAGACTCATCTCCCTGCTGATTACAACTATAAATTCCAGAACTAGTGGAAGATACAAGTGAAGGAGAGCTCTGAAAGGCGGAAAGAGAAAGGGGAAATGCTTTGGGGCCCGCATTAGGGGACAGCAGAATGACAGGGTACCTCGTATCTTCACCCAGCAGAAGACAGTGGCCTAGGCCTGATGCGTCCCAACACCCAGCCTAGCAATAGGAGGCGGCTGAAGGAGCCGTTCCCCCCAGGCTCTGGGGAGGGGATCCTGCCCAGCACCACCAGGCAAGCCTCCGAGGGTGATCCCTCAGGACACCTGCTGACGAAGCCACCAAAGGAATCGGGGTGGGGCTGTCGGAGGTGGGACCAGCAAAAGAGAACCTCTGACTAAAAGTAATGGACCCAACAAGGCTCTTTACCCCTGAGGCCATGACACTCATCCCCAATGAAAGACATCAGACAGAATGGATTTTAAAAGGTCACATTCATCTAGCTCAGCAGTGAAAATTAACAAACTGCAGACAAATACTATATAGATGAAATGCAACAATATCATATGGGAGCCAAAAGAGACAGGAAGAAAACGTATTACTGTATGATTTCATTGATGTGAGGTTCAAAGACAAGCCAAGACGCTGTATAATATTAAAAGTCAGCAGAGTGGGTAAGTGATGAGGGATTATGCAGGAGCAGGGCTGCGGAGGGCTGCAGATTCTGTTTTGTAGTCTGATTTGCAATTCTGTGGTTCTGGTGCCCTTGTCGTCAATGTGCTCAATTATATGTTTAGTGTCCTTGATATAAAGTAAAATTAAATAGCAAAGTTTATTTTGGAAACCAACCATTTAAGAAGTACAGTTTTCTATGAAAAGCAAGATTGAAAATTAGCAGATGTGCATTAGTGGCATAAAAATATAAAATATAAAGTCAAACACTGGAATATTATACAGACTTAAAATGACTACAAGTATGTACAAAAATATGAATTCTACAAATATACTATTGACTGGAACAAGCCTTAATAAAGTATATGAAATGTTTAGCACCTTACCCTTTCTTCTTCATCATCTATATGAAGCAAGCTAGAGTTCTTGGAAGCACAGGCCATCAGACTCTCACGCCATGTTTTATGTTCAGTACTAACGTTATAGCAATTGTTGGAATATGTAAGCCACTCCAGGGGACAACGACCACAATTATGTGCTAAAGAAAGATTGTGAATTATTATCCAATAGAAATTTTAAGTTTTAAAAATGAAAATTAACTTACATACTTGCATAGGTATAAACATATAGGTACATAATATATGCATACATCCTCACAGGCTGGTACATATAAAACAAAATGCACTCATACACACAGAGAATGGTCAGCCCGATATCCCCTAATTTATGTGCCCCTGTAAAGCAAACACACAAACAAAAATATCCACTCTATCCTTGTCCTAAAAGTCAATGAATGAAAGTACTTTTAAAGAATAGTAAAATTCTTTATCTTATACTCTGTGTCTCATTATATTATAGCAGTAGGAAATTTAAGCCCTAAGATAGAGACAACATATAAACTTTGCTAATATCAAAACTTTGAAAATCATTGTGTACCTCTTTGGATCCTTGCTTTTTGGGTCGAATTGGTCTTCTCCAGTATTACAGAAGCTATAGAAATGGAAGTAATTCTTTAAAAATAATTAATCTAAATAAATCATAATAATTTTTGTTTCTTAGTTTGAAGTTTGTTGTTGTATTGTCTAGGATGCAAGTTATCTGTAATAAAATTGAATTTATGAAGAAAAAGTAATAATGTAATAAAGATTTAGGAAAAAAATATTTTAAAAGTCTAAAGGACCAAACTTCACCATCTTACAATATTGGTTAAGCAATCTCAATATGAATTTGTATTTCTTTATAAGGTCTTTCAGACTCGTAAAGCATGTCTTTGAGTTATGAAATCAGAATATATGACTACATGTAAAAATACTCTTTAAAAATATTCTGTTACTTATGCCTTTGTTAAGTTCAGAATAACCATCCCACATTTATTCTAAAGGCATACTTTAAAATGAAAGTCCTATTCCAAAATAATATGACATGTTTAGAGGCACTGATGATCACTAAGGTGAAAACGTCTGTATAATCTTTAAAATTTACTTACAGGGAGTAACAGCTATTGTTACCACAGCGGACATCAAGACAAGGCAGATGACTCCGAGGATCCCAGCAATGACCTTTTCCGGAGGTGATGGGGAATCTGCAGGGAGAGAAAAGGAAACACTGAGAAAGGAGAGAGAGACAATTGTTTCGACAGCTTACACACAGAGAATCATATACATAAGCTTGGACCCCAGCCCATACCCTGCATTGTAATCTTCCTCTCACAATACACTGTGGCATTTTCAGTAAATACAATGCTCCATGAGTTGTTGGTGAAAGACTATACCTTACATCAATGCCTGAATAAAATTAGCCCTGAGCTTTCATCTGAAATACTGTATTACAACTTCAAGTTCTGATTTGTACAAAAGAAAACTTTGTGAGCTTATTTCCTACCATTTCCCCCCACCTCTGCAGCCCAGCCGCACGACCCAGAACGGTGACACTGTGTGTCTATTGAATGTTACCTCTGCAGTGCTCATGCAGGTCATTCCTCTGCAGATCCTGAGGAGCACTGTGAAGGTTTAATTCTGCATAGGTTATTTCCTGCTCAGTCACTGGCACGGAGCTTTTGGTGCGCTTAGGTTTCATTCGTTGTGTCTTTGCATACTTGGCCAAGTTCAGTTCTGTGTAGGTTACTCTTTCCTTACTCATCTTCGCAGCTGCTGGTGTCGGAGCCTGCGCTCTGCCCTAGGTGTGCTTACAAATAAATGCTGCATGCACTCGAGAGATCCCTCACAGGAAAACTGGGAGGGGCAGAGGGCTGGCAGTGTGCTCATTTTCCAGTTGAAGAATAATATAAAGCTCTGGTTCTAAATTCCTTAGAGGTTTCAACCAGTGTCTCGTGGTAAAATACATTCTTAAAATATACTCTGCATTTGTTGATATATTTATTAAAGCAAAAAAAGGCATAATTAGTGAGTAATATAGAGTTACATGAATAATAACATACTCATTAATTGAAAGTCAAGTTCCACAGAAATATTTTGACACCATTAGAATGACTATCTTAGAAATTAAGTTTTATTTAAAAAAAAAGAGACACAATATTTATGATAATTTTGAAATCCAATAGTAAAGACTAAGTGCTCTAAAGATGGAAAATAATAATGTTGGCATATATTAATTTCTTGCACTGAATTATACTTATTTAGTGACTTACATTTATTTGGTGAAATGGTTACCAAAAGGTTCTTCATTTTGAATGGTTGAGGCATTCTGAAAAATAAGTAAAAATTTAAATAAATATTTTATATGTTGGAAAATGTTACATGACACATTAAACTTACCTATAACCTTAAAAATAATGAAAATAAAAGGACAAGAAAAAGATTTTTTTTAAATAATTATTTTATAAAAACAATTGATAATTGATTTAATGGACATGATATGAACCTATAAGATGATCAAGTATAGATCATTTATGGAATAACATTGTTGGTTCAAACTTTCAGAAAGATCCTTTGGTTGTGAAAGTCACTTTAGTTGTATAAGCAACTGCAATCATGCAGATAATGTAATTTAATAATTCAGTCAATGACTCTGTAGTCAGAGAGACAGGAATTAATTCTGGTTTTGAAACTTATGCGTGACCTTTAAAAACTTACTCAGTGTCAAGTAACCTACTTTACTCATCTGAAGTGGAAATAGTATGTAAGATATATTGCAAGTAAAATTTAGCACTCCACTCCACACATAAACTCTCAATAAATGTGAATTACCTTAACTATTATTTTAGTCACAATTTGTAGGTTATTATTTCTGATTCAGATCAGTTATACCCTGTAAAATAATTCAATAAGCCAGAGTCTCTTTAATCAGTATAGTAGAACTTTTTTGCAATGTTTGTTCAAATTTTTAAATAGCACTTTGACTGTTTATAATTAAGTTTAGTTTGGCATTTTACGGAAGCTACTTCATCCTGATTTTTAGTAAAAATCAAGCTGCTTTTATTCAACCTAAGTAAGTAATAAGGAATTGTGTCTGACCTTCATCATGCAATGAATTCTTTTTTAAGTATCTATTTAGAAAGGTTGAGCAGAATATAAATTAATATACTGTTATACCAAAACAAACACCACCACCCCCGACAAACCCTTGTACTGATTATAAAATCCAAAACTAATTATTCCTTGCCATGATATTCATGGGTTTCACTTTAAATTATTTTGATTTACAAACCCAATCATGCATGTATGTATGCACTTGATTAATTTCCTATAGGCAATAATTTCAACACTTTAAGAAATATTTCAATATATTTTATATTTTATGGTTGCTTTTTACCATGAACTACTCAAATAAAAACATTAATGTTCCACTTCGATTTTGTTGTATATTAATCGTCCCTCAGTTGCATTGCATCTAGCTTTTGTTTTTTCCCACTGGATGAGATGGACTGGTAGAGAAACAGGAGAGTAGGGACACATACCTTCTGTCAGCCAGAAAGTTGTGCATCCGTTTTTGGGGAGGCCAGGTGACTCATAAAAAAGGACTGCTATACCCGAGTAATAAAAGGAGAATTTAAAAACATAAATTCAGGACCAAAATAAACAATACCTGTCACCTCCACAGACTGCCCTGTGAAGGCTCAGAGTGAAGTAATAGTGGAAAAAGTAAATATCAATGTGTCACTTAAGGTTTGAACAGGAAATTCTCACACTTTGGCTATTTTGAAATCAGTTTATCTCATCATACGCCTCCAGAATACAGGAGACTTTGGGCTCTAGCTGAAAGGACAAATAATCTCTATGTGTGTCATTTAAATTGTTCATTTTCGAATGTATCTGAGAAATTGTTTTCATATTCTACAAAGGCTTAACCACCATTGCAGTTAATTTGTTTCCATCTCAGTCACAAACACTGCAAACTTATGCTTGTTAAGTATCTTAAATTTAAATTTTAGAACAACATTGCTAAATCTTGGCATTAAATACTGCTTTTCCTCATATCCTTATTATTTCATTTGTACTATCTTAGAAAAATTCTAAAAAGCACAATCCATTATCAACACGTATTTAATGGTATTCATCACTAATTATTATGAGAAATTACCAAATTTTTAACTATATTGTACCTGGTACCATCATTCCCAAAATAGCATCTCTATTCCTCTGACCCAGTTCTGTTTTCAATTTTATTTTTCAATTACAGTTCACATTCAGTATTATTTTTGTATTAGTTTCAGGTGTATAGCATAGCGGTTAGACAATCATATACTTAAGAAAGTATTTCCCTCAATATTGAAAGTATAGTTAAAGAATATTGAATTAACAACCTTGGATGGAGGGAAGTGGAAAAATAAAAAAATATATGTTTAATTTTAAAGAAGGTTTTAAATATACTTATAGTTACAAATAGCACGAAAAAAGTAAATGATAGACTTTGACTCAAACAAGTAATATTAAATATAAATAGAATAATTTTCAATTCAAATATGAAACGTGCACTCTAGGTATATCCATGTTGTCACAAATGGCAGGATTTTCTTTTCTTTTTTTTTTACATTTACATTTTTAAAATTGAATTTATTGGGTTTACATTGGTTAATAAAATTACATATGTTTCAGGGGTACAATTCTATAATACATCATCTGTATATTGTATTGTGTGTTCACCACCCCAAGGCAAGTCTCCTTCCATCACCTTTCACCCCCCGCATACCCTCTTCTACCTCTCCCCACTCTCCCCTTCCCTCTGGTAATCACCAGACTGTTGTCTATCTATGAGGGTGTTTTTTCTTCTTCTTAATTCCTTCACCTTTTTCGCCCAGCCCTCAATGCCCTCCTCTCTGACAGCTGTCCCTGTATTTATGAGTTTGTTTTTACTTTATTTGTTAGTTTATTTTGTTCATTAGATTCCACATATAAGTAAAATAACATGGTATTTGTCTTTCTCTGACTGGCTTATTTCACTTAGCATGATACTCTCCAGTATCGGAAGAAATCTGAAACACTAATTCGAAAGGATATATGCGCCCCTATGTTCATTGCCGCATTATTTACAATAGCCAAGATTTGGAAGAAGCCAAGTGTCCATCAGTAGATTAGTAGATAAAAAGAGCTGTGGTATATTTGCACAATGGAATACTACCCAGCCATAAAAAAGAAGGAAATCTTACCCTTTGTAACATGATTTCCATATTTTTTGTCTGTATATTATTCAATTATATATGTATATATTTTATATTTTCTATCCAGTCAACTTTCTGATATACACCTTTAATATAAGCATAGAGGGAAGATAAAAGTAAAAAGAAAATATATTCCATGTAACATAAATCGGTAGAAAATTGCTATACTAAAGTTATGTTAATTTTAGTTTATTAAAATTAAATAAAATTTAAAAAATGATTCATTGGTTACATTAGCCACATTTTAACAATTGATGTAGAATATTTCATCATTACAACAAATTATCTGACCACAGTTTACTTTAAATTAAAATAACTAACAAAAATTTTGAAAATCCTTATATGATTTTAATTAGTAATATATTGATAACATATGGACAGATTAAAAATCAGGATGCATGTTCATAATTTTATATTAGTTACAATAAAAATATAACATCAAATGTCTTTATTGAAAAATTGATTGTCTTAAATGTATATATTAGAAAAAAAGAAAGCAGAATATCAGTACCTGAGCATCTAATAAGAAATTAAAACTGAAGAGCAAATTAAATCAAAATAAAATATATAGAAGAAAACAATAAAGATTAGTATTTAATGACAAAAAGAAAAATTACAATAGAAAGGATCAACAAGGCCACAGGTTTTTCATTGAAAAGACATACTAAAATTGATAAATTCATTATGAAATGGTTGAAGAAAAAATAGAGGCACAAATAATTTTTATCTAGAAAGAAATATGAACACTGTTATAATTCCTGAAGATATTAGACACTAAAAGCATTTTATTTATAAATTATTATTACCTATATGAAATAGAAAATTCTTAGAAAATATAAATTACCAAAATACAGTACAACAAACAGAAAATCTGAGAAGTCCTACATGTATGAAAGAAGTTTAGTTGTTTTCTATAAACCATTTTATTGTCATATAATTGACATACAAAGAACTGTACATATTTAATGTATACAAATTGAAGTGTTTGAAGATAAGAATACACCCATGAGACAATCACCAAAATTAAATCCATAAACTAATCATCACCTCTAAAAGTTCTACCACCTTTATTTTTAAAAATATTTTCTTATTTTGTGGTAAGAGTACTCAACATAAGACCTACCCTCTTAACAAAATTCACTTATACAAAAAATAGTGTGAACTATAAACTCTGTTTTACAGTGTAGAAATTATAGATCTTGCATAACTGAAATTTTATTCACTTTGAACAGTACCTCCCCATATTCCCTTCCTCTCAGTCCCTGGTAAGCACTATTTTATACTGTGGTTCTATGAGTTTGACTATTTTAGATTCCTCATAAAACTGGGATCATAAAATATTTATTGTTCCGTCTGGTTTCTTTGACTTAGCATAAAGTCGTACAGGTTCATTCATGTTGTCACAAATGGCAGGCTTTTTTTCTTTCTCAAGGCTGAATAATATTCCATTATGTGTACATGCCACATTGTTTTTATCTATTAATGTGTTGATGGGCATTTACGTTGTCCTATGTGTGTCTTC